CGCGACAGAAAAAGCAATCTGACATAATATCTGACATTGCATCAATCAGTTACGAGGAGAACGGGAAAGAAAAAAAACACGACCAAACCAGATCGAGCATCGTTCAGGATCTTTTTCTTGGGCAACCACCTTTTCCCAGCTTTCAGCCGTGGCCGTGAAGGCTTCAAGCTGAAATACTTTTCCACGGTTTCAATCTTTTTTGTCTTTGCGGCCTTTCTCACAGTCATGAACGCCCTTCTTCCAGGGTTGAAACTCGTTGTGAAAAGGTTATGGGCATTCTTAGCATTCTTTCCGATGACAAGCCTCAACTTTTTTTTCCTCAACAGGTTCCCCACCCAATTCATCAAAACAAACCACAAACATATCAGCATTAGTTGTGCTACATAGCTATCACTGTTACGTTGCCCAAATGATCCCGGCAAGAGACCCCAGACAGCGTGGCGGAGTGGGAGGATAACGCATGATAATGCGGATGATGATGATGATGATTATGATGATGATGCTGATGATGGTGATGATCACGGTGATGGTGATGATGGTCCCGATGATGGTGATGATGATCGCGATGGTTATGATGATGATGATGATGGTGATGATGATGATGATTATGATTATGATCATGATGATCATGATGATCATGATGATGATACTGATTATTGATGGTGATGAGGATGACAATGTTGCGGACGATGGTGTTGAGGATGATAATGTTGCGGAAGGTGAGGTGGAGGAGGATGATGTTGCAGAAAATGAAGTGGATGATGATGATGACGATGTGGAGGATGATGATGCCAAGGAAGATGAGGATGAGGATGAAAATGTGAAGGATGAAGTGGAGTATGAAAAGGTGGAGGATGATTTTGATAAGGAGGAAGATGATAATGTTGAGGATGATAATGTTGAGGCGGATGATGAAAAGGAGGATGATGTTGCGAAAGGTGAGGTGGAGGATGCGGAAGATGACGTTGAGGATGATGATGTTGAGGACGGTGATGAAAAGTGGGAGGAACATGATGATGCTGAGAATGATGATGTTGAGGAGGAGGAATATGATGTTGTTGAAGATGATGATATTGCCATTGATGAAGTGCAGGAACAGTGCCCGAGCCCAGAACCTATAGGCACACACTTTGCGCGAGCCTGCGAGGTCGAAATGCACGGCAACATTTCACAAGAACAATTTTTAAACGGAAATTTGCAGGGAAAATGCCGCGCTTCAGCTGGATCGAGCCTGCGCAATCGAAATGCATGGCAACAGTTCCTCAAAGACACTTTACACCAAAATTTGCCGGGATTATGTTGTGCTTCAGCTGGATCCTAGAAGCAGGACCCGCACTTTGCGCGAGCCTGCGCAATCGAAATGCATGGCAACATGTCACAAGAAAGAGGCAATACAATACATATTGCAAAAATGCTGCGGCTTAGTTGGACCCCGGAACCGGGGCCCGCACTATGTGTCCAACATGTCACAAAAACCACTGATTACAGAAATTTGGAATAAAAATGCCGCGGCAAAAAAACGGTGGCCGACACTTTGTGCGAGCCTGCGCAGCCGAAATGCATGGCAACATTTCACAAGAACCGCCTTATACGGACATTTGCAGGAATAATGCCGCGGCCCAGCTAGAGCACCCTGATCAAGCACCGGCCTTTACTCTTACCGTCAGAACTCCTCGGTGTGGACACACAGTTTGGGGAAAAACCAAAGGAACAATTGAACCATCTTGAACCTCAGCCTGGGAACATGCTCGGAGTCTCACCAGCGCCCTTTTTCCTCCGCAGTGCTCATTGAAACCAAAACAAACGAGCATGGTATGCCGCGATGTTTAGCCAGCAAACTGTCAGCAGACTTCTGAAGTATCAAAGTTGAAGCCGAAAGAGTGTCAGAATGAATGTCGCTATGTTGGCATGTAATCAAACGAATGGTGACCATGTACGTGAGGGTGCTAGGCGGAGAATCTTCAAACACGTCAGTGCATGCTTCAAAGCGTGACGCAATACATGTCAAAAAGTGTTGTCGCAGCAATGGGTCACAGTACATTTTTACGGGGTATATGAGTCATATGGATTTCCCATACGTCAGATGGGATGCCAGTTATAAAACTCTACCAAAACAATCCTAGCAAAAACATAACACGCGGAAACCCATAAGTTAAATTGTATATTGAATATTTGGACTAGCAACCGCAGGAGGGCATTTGCCATCTTCTTTGTCATACAGAAAGACATTGCGTAAATGTTCAGAAAGCGATTCTGTGGCCAACGTTCTGCAACTTGCAATTGGACTCTTGTACTAGCATCAGTGGGCCTCAACGCGCGCCACAATAGTCAAATATATTAAACCAAAAAAAAACTTTTTGAACTAATAAAGCGTTCTCAAAAAAAACTACTCCAAAACGGGTTCCCCATAATGAAACAAAACCAAACCACCACCAGCACAATTTCATATGCAATAAGATAGCTTTGATCGTGACATCATTTCGTTTCGGATGCAGCCCAGTGGTTGACACCAAGGTGAACGCGGTGTGCATGAAAATGTCGAAGTCAGCGCCCAACTCAGCGTAGGACTTGCAATTCCCCAAATCCTCAAAAAAGAGAAACCTCAAGATAAGTGATTGGCCCAAATCAAAATTAAAAACAAAGTACCATGTGGCAAAAGAAAAACCTTTACTAAAAAAACGGGTGAGTAAGAGTCGAAAGCAGCGCGACACACAAGAAGCACAAGCAGCAAGTCAATCATCTGCACTTTTGTGTTCGCGAGACGAAGGTCCATGATGAGGGCAAGCAGGGCGTCAGAGCGAAGGTCGGGTTCAAAACTTGAGTATCTAACGAAACATCAGCAAGAAGTCATTTGCATTCCTGCATGTGATACGCGACAAGGGATGCAATGGTGAAAAAACGTATGGACGAAAAAAATGCGGATGGATCAAACGCAACGCGGAAAACCAAGAGCGCCAGCAAGAAAACCACAACTACATACAATTACATACAATTACATACAAGTACATACAATTACACACAATTCCATTCAATTACATAGAATTACTTACGCAAGACCATGGCTACCCACCTTAGGACTGTGGGTATGACTATGGCTACGATCATGGCTATGACTGGCTATGACTGGCAATGTCTTTGGCTGTGACCATGACGACGACTATAGTTTTAGCTATGAATATTGCAGCAGAAATACGCATAATAAATCATAATAAGTTTCTTAAAAAAACTTGCACACATGGATGAGTTTTTGACATGCACGATGGGCGCGTTATACGTGAGTAGTGCATGTTTCATGATGCTGGCAAATGTGATGCGCTATGCGTGATTGAGCCATGATGGGCGCATGGCTCTTGATTGGTAGCAACACAGTAAAGTATATCAACATGTTGTTTCCATTACTGCAGAAATATTGAAAGTTTGTAAAATTGGGATGCGACATTGAAATTGACCCCACAAGTAAGGCAATCCATCCGACGAGAAATACGTGGAAATATTTGCTACTTACGGTGTTAAAAGAACGTGAAGGAGTGGATAAATTCAGCACATACAAGAGCATACATACATTCCTTGCTGCCTTTTAGTGCAGCAGCAATTTCCGATGAAAGAACTTCGCACACATGCCTCCGCAATGAATCATGTGCCTGTCATGACTTCATGTGACCATCAAAAAAAAAAAACAAATACTTTCCAAGCATGAAAAACATTGTCATGAAGATCGTGCCACAATCACGAATTATGCACACAGAGTGAGCATGACTGTACCATGACTTCATTTAAGCATGATGAATCATGCACGCAGCATGAATCATTCGTCAATCGAATTTGATGCGAACATCATGAATCATGCATGCTGCATGGTTTGTGCGCGTGTCATATGCAAGTTTCATGCATCATGCGCGCATAATCAATCATGCGCCTGGAATGATTTCATGCAAACAGCATGAATCATCCCGGTGGCTGTATCTTTCGTTTTCTCATTGATTACATGCCAAATCATGAAGCATTCTCGTACCATGAATCATGCGCCCGTCATGACTTCATGCAAGCATCATGAACCATGCAAGCGGCAATTCAATGTTCATGGGCGTAACGGTTCAACTTGCTGCTGAATCAAGAACATATCATGAACAATTCATGTATGATGAGTCATACGCAAGTCATGATTTCATGCGAACACCTTTATAAAGTCTAACGTATCTCAAGAAACACGCACGAATCATGATTTCAAGAAGCGCAAGAGAACCTACAGCGTAGCATGACGCATGTGTGGAAGTGCAAAAGTACCTACAGCGTAGCGTGACGAAAGTGCTACAGCGTAGCATGATGCATGTGTAGAAGTGCAGGAGTACCTACAGCGTAGCATGACGCATGTGTGGAAGTGCAAGAGAATTTACCGCGTAGCATGACGCATGTGTAGAAGTGCAAGAGAACTTACAGCGTAGCATGACGTATGCGTGGAAGTGCAAGAGAACCTACAGCAGAGTAGCATGACGCATGTGTAGAAGTTCAAGAGAACTTTCAGCTAGCATGATGCATGTGTAGAAGTGCAAGAGCACCTACAGCGTAGCATGACGTATGTGTGGAAGTGCAAGAGAACCTACAGCGTAGCAGGACGTATGTGTGGAAGTGCAAGAGAACCTACAGCGTAGCATGACGTATGTGTGGAAGTGCAAGAGAACCTACAGCGTGGCAGGACGTATGTGCGGAAGAGCAAAAGAATTTACAGAAGCGTAGCATGACGTATGTGTGGATGTGAATGAAATGCAAGAGAGCGTACAGACATATTGCATCACATGTGTGTGGAAGTGCAAGTGACGTTATTATCCCACCCCACCCCACCCCACCCCCCCCACACAATGTTATTTTCATAGTAGAATGCAAAAAATGACAACAGTCGCGAGCCTCCCAGATGCCCGGCACCAAAAACATGCCCCCCCAAAAAAAGATGTTTGACGACTCCGTGCCCTGCGCATCCCTGTACTATTTCAAAACCGGATGGCGCCATATCCCAGCGATCCGTCTTTTCGCAGGCGCTGATGGCAGCGTTAAAAGTGATCTCATCAGCCTGGACGGAGTGCCTCGGAGTGCCCAAAACATTCAACAAACACATTGTTACTGTGGATTACTGTGGCATAGACTGCAGCCCCTTGTTTAATTACAACACATGCGTTTTTTTTCCTATGTTTTTCTCATCAAAGGACACGCCTCCCAATAAAGAATGCAAATGAATGCAAACCAGTTTATACTTGTTAGCTGGTCGGCAATCTGCTGGTAAGCTACTATAAAGCTCCAAGGATCAAACTCACACATCCTACTATATACCCAGAAAATAAAGAAAGGAGAAACCAGGAAGGGGCTGAGGAGTGAGGAGTGGGTAATGAGGAATAGTAGGATCTAACATAGAACATTCTCACGCTGGGCGACGCTTTTGGTCAACCCGAAGAGCACGTTCTTGAATGATGGGAGGAAAGAAGAGTGGAAAATGAAAGAAGGGGGGGTAGTGGGAAGTGGAATGAAGAAGAAGTTGAGTAGAGAGCTGGAAGTTCAGATCAGAAATCCAATGCAAAACATAAAGCTCCGAAAACAGCAACTTAGACATGAAGCGGCTCCTGCCTTGCCTACGAGTTGCAACAGTCGAGCAGTTGTGGAAGAACTAATCTAAGAACAATCTGACTATCTGCACTATCAAGACAGTCAACGTCGTCAAACATACGACGCTCATATTATAACTTGCACATGAAAACGCACTTTTGGGCATCTCAAGTCTGTCAAACTCTGATCAACACTTTGCAACTTAAGGAATGCTAAAGCAGGACACTCTGGAGAATTCTAAACCGAGCAACCCTGGCAAGGACTGTAGCAGTTGGATTGCTATCTTCCTCTCGCCTGCCTGCAATGTGCAAGCTTCGTATCGTCTTGTGACATTGTGGCAAAAAATGCAAGCCTATGCATGCGTGCTGGCCTTTGTCTTGGTCCGGCGTGGCCATGTATCTCAACATAAAATTCTTGTAACGTTGTCCAATGGCGCCTTCTCGCAGCAACTCAGAGCAGCATTGCAGGCTGGTGTGTTCAAGCTGATGTGACTGTGGCACATCCTCGGGAGAGTTTTTAAAAGTGGACCATCTGAAAAGTTGGAGGCTGTATATTCTGAACTGCATGTTTGGCCAGAGAAATGACCCATGGTCTGCTGACTGCCCCTAGCATGTCGAGATTCTGTTCGAGAAGCTGCAATGCCACGCGCCACCTCAGATGCACCAACCAAATCTATCCGCCATCACTTCCCAATATCCAGCTTGAGATGTCTGCCACGCCAGGCACGCTTGGCAGGGCTTGGCTCACTATTGGGCTACGGCTACGGTCTGACCATCTTTCTGGGAGGCAGGGTGAGAAGGAAGCTCATAGCTCCGCGCAAAGACAAACTTAGACAATGAAGCAAAAAGCCCCTCCAACAAAATAATTCAAAATCATCGTCACTGTCACGATGCCTTACGTTGTGAACAACATCTCTCTGATCGTGGTATCCCCATATCCCCAATGATAGCATCAGCAGGCCTGAGGCAAAGGGGGTCCAGCACCTTTAAGAGGTGGATGATGGTGGATGAACAAGGACCATCTAGACAATACAAGGACCATCTCTTGAGTCCAAGGTGCTTGGCTGAGATTTGGCAAGCTGTGATCGTTGCGCTGAAGCTTCTAGCACTGGCACTGACACGATTGCAGCGCATCCTTGGCACCAGGGACAAAATCTTTCTGATACCTCCTCCAAATAGATCCAAAATGATCGCCCAAATCTCAATATAGGATAATAGAAACAAATTTTCATGAATCCTGTCCAAACATGTCCAGACCCTTGTGTACTGAATACGTTTGTCTACAGGTGACTGATTTACCTCCAATTGGAGCAACCATGAGTGCTTGATCTCCGCAGCTTGTGGTCCAAGCTCATGGCACTGTCTGCATGTCAAGGATCCGCTCAAAAGTCAAGATGGCATGCAGCCACGCCCTGCCCCTTTCGCAAGCTGTGATTGTAGCGTTGTGGACATTCTCACCTCCAGCATTTGTCTTCGCACCCCCCATCCCCTCCCACTGCACGTGCAGGCTGCTCAAGTTGGAGCGCAACGGGAAACCAAAAAAAGTTCCACACGTCACAGGCGTCACAGTCACAGAACATAGCTGACATAACTACCATAACTTCTTTGCACTGCAAGTCACTAAGGACCTGTGATTCGGCAAGTCCTTCATAGAGGGACAAAGCTTTCCGCCACCTGCTGGTTCTGCCACATGTCGAAATGATGTTAGTAAAAGTGATCTGATCTGCCAAGCGGGTGCCCTGCATAAAGTGCAGCAACCCTATGGCAGCCTGCCACGCTGTTGACGTCTCACAGCTGCTTATAGCAGCATTGCAGGCCACCGCATTCGGGCGAACGGTGGAGTTCAGCAGACTCATCGCCAACTGCCATGTGTCGAATCGATTGCAGGCAGAAATGGCAGCACCTCAAGAGTATGTTTCGGGGCATTTCATGGACATTCACAACGCCATCAAAACGCCCTAAGGCTGCACTGTGACATTGTCAATGTGCATTTGTCCAACTTTGTCCATCTATGTCCATCTGGTTGAATAACTTGCGTTCAAGCAAAAACACTTGACAAGTTTGCGAGAAGATTGTTCGGCGATGGTCAAAGATGGTGCAGGCAGGTTCTGCATCCATTAATGCAGGACCAGGGGCCCAGGCTGACAACGTCCGCTTTCAGCTCCGAGTCCAACAAACAGAAGAAGAACAGTGCCGACTCCCATTCGAAAGCGTTGGAGTAGGCCGTCAAAGCTGCATTGAGACAAGCTACAGTCGGCTGATGGTGTAGCTGCTGCATTTCTTGTAGTAGCATTTCCGCGATCTGCCATTCCTTAGGTCGGAACATGTCAAATGGTGTTGATCAGACTAAGCAACTCCAACTCAAGTATTTAACAGTCAGTTGGTCAAATCGTGTCAAATCGCATCGAAAGTCTGCTTGCATGTTATGAACATGTTATGAACTGTCAATGAGCGTCGGATGATCGTGCCATAGCACTAATCGCTGCTCCATAGCTGAAGACATTTGGGAGGCCAGATGGCATACTGCGCAATGTGATGAAAGCCTTCTGCCACAGCTGTGGATGTTTGGCATACGCAGCGATGACGGATGTGTAGCTTGCAACGTCTGGACTGATTCTCAGAAGCGGTGCTTGGGCCAGGAGTTCGGAAGCTTCTTGCCAACGTCCACAGCGAGATGCAAAAGCCAGCAGTTCATTCAACTCACGGCAATCCAAGTCAACAGCATAACCTAAGCCATGTGAGATGTCATGAATGTCATGAAATGTTCCGTTCTGAAATTGTTCGCATGCAAGTTCCAAGTGTGAGAACATCAGTTCCTCATTTACAAGTTCATCAATTTGGTGCAGGCAAGGCACCAGAAACAACACGTTGGAGTGATTCTTGGAGCTCCTTCCGAGCCCTTAGATCGGACACAAACATCAAAATACATTCGAATACTCAGCCCTGGGCAAACATCGACAACTTTCCTAGTCTACACCGCGCATTGAGGAGATGCTGCTCTAGATTGGCAGCTCCTTGTGTTCAAGAATGTGCTGTAGCCTGTGCATGCCTTTAGCTGTGCAGAAACATGATCACGGGAAAGATGACTGGGGACTCATGGCACGAACATATCGTTAGAATTGGGCTGCTGCCTGCCAAGCCGCTTTGGCCCCATCCTTCGTATTTTTCTCAGTGCCAATGCCGAGCACATCGGGGTTTGCCGCGGTCTATTCCAGTTCTCTGTTTGGAGCCTTGAAGATTAAGGACTGCAGATTGGGACACATGGGGACCCTGCAAAGCAGATGATTTGTTTTGTTTCTTTCTTTGAGCATGTTGGCTTCTCTGTGTCAGCTGCCGACATCCCAGCGGATCGCCACATGCCGCGTATCACATCAGCTTCCAACAGCCCCACATGTCTGAGGGGTGAGGTTCCGATCACCCTGCAGCTGAGAGATCAGGCCCACAGCACCTTGATGTCTGAGTCGAAAGGATCTGCCGGGCAAGAAAACTAGAAAACACCGCAAGCACACAAAGCTATCACATTCTTCAGGACGCCACAAATTCCTGGAATCCCATGAGATTCACTCTTCCAGTCATCCCAGAAGATCGTGACAGTACTTTCACAATTTGTCTTTATCGTGTCTCATGGTTTCAAATGGGTCCCCAAAACAAAGCCACAAAACCTGTAGATAGTTGAAGGAACCAAATACATCCAAATACTGTAAATAGTCGTGATTTTCAATACATGGATGTAACCAGTTTGAAGGCCCTGTGTGTTGCTGGCGGCATTTATATAGTCGGCTCCATCCTGTTCTTTCTCACACTCGTCACGTTTCACAGGTTTCGGTCATAGCACCCGAATGGGTCAATGCCCCTGGCGCTCCCTGTACAGAGCTGTACATGTGGCAAAAAGTGCCATAGGCCTTGGACCTAAGGCAATAACTGCAACAACGCGTCATGCATCAAACCCCATTGGGCCCAACGCCTGAAGATGCCTTCGCCTGCACAGCCGTAGTCTGCATGCACATTGTCAGGAACTTGCTGTTCAAGAAAGCATGGCCACTCGGCCAGCCAGTCTCAGCTGAAAGATAGGAAAATGATAAGGAAAGATAGCTGTATGAAATGATAATGATAATGATGGAAGTCAAGTGCGCAAAGAGAGGGCAGCTGAGTCCTTCAGGAAAGTTCCAGAAGGATCCAGAAGGTCTATAGATGAAGTCGATCAAGTATTGTGGCAACCAACTTGAGAACAGAAGAATTCAGAAGGCAAATCCCATAAAAACCCCATACAAATCATGAATCCATTTGTTGAGCCTAGCCCTCCTCCGCCGAAAAGAATGCCGGATTCTCACCCTGGGTGGACAATTCAAAATTGGTCAATCCAACGTGACTAACGACACATTGCAGCTGACTTCCTCCAGCCTTCTTTAACAAATACAGGCTGTTGCAGTTTTTTGTTCTCAGTGGAACTTTCGAGCATAAGGACTGCGCCGTGGTCATTGTCACTTTCCGCCCCGAGGCAGATCGGAAAAGCCTGTCTCCCCGCATCTCATGTAGCCATAGAAAAGAAAAATAAAAGGTCAGCAGTTAATCTCATGTGTGCATACGCAGGTTTACCACCCTATGCTACAGTCTGTTGCAGCAGTCGCAATCGTAGCTTAGAGCTACGTTCATTGGTTCTGTTCTCCAACTGCTTGCCTGTCATGCAAGGCTGCAGCATACCCTCCAAGACCGCTCGGATCGAAGTCCGCTATGCAAATGAGCTCAGCCTCTACAGTAGCGCCAGGTTTTTTCCACATGTCAACATCCACATTTCTGCCATGTGAACTCATCAATGCATTGGAAGCCTGGGTTTGTCGGAATGCTTGGGTGCATCATCATCATCATCATCATCATCAGCTGATCCATTATAAATGGAAATCAATTGAAGTAATAATTCAATCTAATTCATACTAATTCCACAATAGACAAACTCACCGCTCCCCCTAACGGCCCTAACGACTTCACTGTGCCTTCTCAGCCAGAGCAAAAGCTTCAGCTGCACGCAAGGTGCTGAAGACGTGCCGACAAGCTTCCTGAAAATATGTCAGGATGTCACAAACACTGCCACAAGGCGGAAGCAACCAAGGCATCTATAATGCCTAGACCTAGATATAGATGTAGATCTATAAGAGGATGGATGGATGGATGGATGGATGGATGGATGGATGGATGGGTGGGTGGGTGGGTGGGTGGGCGGGTGAATAGCTTTAACATAACGCAATATAAATACACACACTATTAATAAATACATGTGCATATATCATTGCAGCACCCTTATTTTTCCTGGAGTGCCACGTGGTTGTTAAATGACTCATGCACTTCGACACACCTTCAGGTAGGGAAAATTGCCTAAATTATCCCAGTCAGGTTTTGACCTGGATGTTGTCACCCCGACCAGGACAGTGCCCTGAGGTTTCCCCTCATCCCTGACAGATCCTTCTATGATCTGTCCCTCCTTGGTCTTGTGCTTGAACCATTTTTCAGGATTCAAGCCTCCCCCAAGCCACATGCCTGGGGGGTAAACTCCAGTCTCCAGTTCAGGCTCCCACAGTGTGAAATTGAAGCCTGGGTGGTTGCCTTGTGTGAATGGCTGTACAGCGGAAGCACAATGACATATCATCGTTGCTGACTCCCCCATTCATCTTATTACTGGTTCATCATCACTCAAAATAGTTAATTGTTTATATATGCATTTATTTATTTAGTTATTGATTATTGTTTTTATTATGTGTATGTGTATATATATATATATATGCTATGCTATTATCGTATATCACTACATGTCATATCAGCGCAAATCTAGCGCTAAGCTGCAGAAAAAGCGATTTCACTGCATATATACAGGACTCCGCCTTCTAATGAAATCTAAAATGCATCACTGCCCCGGTATTTATGTCCTTCGGATTTAGTTCCTTATAGGCATTTTAGAGCGGATCTCATATACGTGTGTGAGTGTGTCTGGGCTTTGTTTGTGTCCTCATGTCAGACGAAAGCAAAAGGCCTGCAAACATCTGAAACCTGAAAAAAAGGCTGGAGGCACATCCAGCTCACCTCCAGTGCTCAAGATTTCAAGGGTCGCTCCTGTGGCTATTTAGATGGGGATCCTGTGTCTGATCGCCATACCACCCCGTACGGTCCTCCGCAGCATGAGATTCAGGGCCATCCTCGGTTGGGTGTCATGCAGCCATGGTATGCAAAATGTCAGGCACAGACTTGGTATGATGACATCTTGCATCATCTTGCATGGCAATGCTCCTTCCACTTGCTTTTCCATCTGAGCGTTCAAACACCTGCCTTACACCTGCCTTACTTAGCAACGACTGAAAAGAGATACACCAATCACTCCCCAATTGAATCGCCTGATCACCAAGCATGAAGACCTTCAAGAACATTTGGTGGCTTTTCAGCCATCCACTCTTGAAGTCAATCCTGAGGAAATGAAGTAAGTATGTGATGTCATGATCATACTTTCAGCATCTGTCAGCTCGAGTGTAATCCGTTTGGGCCGCGGTTCTTGTCTTTGGGTCTCCGTGCAGCACACTTCGGCTCGGTGAAGCTTCCACTTTCACACCCTGCGGGCCACTTGAGCAGAGAAGCGTCGTGGACACCTGGTACAAACTGGGAGCTGCTGGGTGCATCGAACTGCAGCTGCACCAGAAAGATCCAGAAAGTCTTGTTGGATAAAATCTGCCATCAAATGTTGACTCTCTCGGGTCCAAAGAAACTAGTAGACTTGAATGTCAGTCCTGACGATTTGGTCCAACCGAACCCCGAAGAACTGCAATGGCTGAGCTAGCTTCACAAAAACAAATTCAAGAATATTTTGCCTGACATGTGTCCCAAAAACCAAGCTGATATTGTAACAAATGAATTCTCTACTCACATGTTGTCACAGGTTGGTGCGATCTGGGGCAATCGCCGAAGGGGCATAGTGTTTCAGCAACCTCTGAAGGAGTTGACCAAGATCAGAATCTGCGCTCTTCAACCAAGAAAAACAAGCCATTCCATTTGATGACAGTACACTGTGAGTTCAGATAGGCAAAACGCAAACGACGCTTATCGAATACATACGGAACGATATGTTCAAATGACATGCTCAAATACATCCATGGTGACTAAGCCGTTTCACGCGATGATGACGAGCACCAGGGAAAGATTCACCTATCAGACTGTTTGTGCAAGTGCAGTCATGCTGCATACCCGGAGCTTGTTGGGCTTCTGCTTCATCTTTTACAACCGGCTGCTTCCTGCGGCTCGGGCCACCAGATCAAGAGTCATCAAGAGACGTTCAAGAGTCAAGGAGTCATATGAGTCACATAACATAGTAAACGAGCCAATAGATGCTATAGATACTATAGATGCTAATAGTCGGCACTGCAAATATGACAATTTGTCTGCTACCCCTGAAATGCCTGGGAACAACGAAGTGCACGCGTTCCTGAGGCACAGCTTGTGAGGACAGTGTCAGGACGCAGGAAGGACATGACATGCCAACCACATAAGCAACTGCCATTTGTTTTTCTCTGGCTCTGATTTGCAGGTGCTCAATACCATCTACAGGTGCACAATACTGCTGGTAGTACCAGTGACTCAGCAGCTAGCCTCTGGATATACACACAGGTAACTAGTCATCACTGGTCACAAGCCTGCAATTTCCCTTTGGCAAAGAAGTCTTCCAGACATGCCTCCAGCCTCAGGCAAGCAAGAGAGGAAGGAGGTGTCTGACTGTAGAACAAGTGCATGAAAGGCTCTGGCACTAGAAGCTGTGCCGAAATATCCCAAATCGCTGGCAAGCTGAGCTGTCTGCTTTTCCTCTGCTACACCGCCCCGTCGGAGCAATCGAACGCATCTTGGTTCCGCTGTGGTGTCCAATTTCAACACGGCCGACCTCGGGACTAGCTCAAGTGACTCAAGTGCCGCTCAGCTCAGAAACGTCAGAAACCTGCTGGGATTTGAGGACCTTGCTCGATGCCTACTTCGCAGGGACCTCCATCCAGGATGCGCAAGAAAGGTACGTGTTGCAAGTCCTGCGGGTAAACATGATCAGCAGTGGGTGCAATGGAAAGGATGGACAGGGATTGAAAGGGATGGAAGCGGATGGAACAGGCCAAGCACGCTCTGAATATTCACACTACAGCCTTTTGCATTTCAGCTGAGGGCAGACTATCTCAGTCAGGATCCTGACGGATCCTGGATATTCCTGGATCCAGGACCAATGTAGATAGTGAATGATAGTGATACAACGGAAGTCCTTTCCCATTTAGAAGCTGTCCTCAAAGACGTGCTCTGGGTGCGTTGGGGAAATGTGCCCAAAGCGATTGGCCGACGGTGCAGCCAAGGGCACCTTGAAATCAATAGATTGGAAAGACAAACACCACACCATGGTTCACTAAAAATATCTAAAAATCAAACTTTGCATGTTTGCCCTCCTCAAACTCTGGTCACTTAGTCTGAATGGAGAGTCTGATCAAAACAAGTCATGCTTCACGAACTGGGTCGCGCAGACGCCAGCGGCTTCAACCAGCTGCCTCGGAAGCTACCCTTTCAGCAAGCTTTGACATGACATGCCCAAAAGAACTAAACTAACTAAACTCTTTGAAACACTTTGAATGCGTACCAAAGCAGTGCTGTGAGTATGATATTGACATGCGCGGAATAATGTGTGTTTACCAGTTTACCAGGAACTTCTTGGGGCCGTTTTGGAATCTTGTGTCATGTCACCCATACTGGCCTTGCAATAGGATGTGAGGGGCATCGAACGGCCACAAAGCCAGTGCCAGCAGTCACTTCTGCTGGCACTTCCGGCCCTTGGGAGTCTGTTTTGGACCAAGATTGGGAAGCAAAAAAGCTGGGATTCGCCCACTGTGCAGGCATCGTGACGCAAGGAGGGCCACTAAAGATTCGAATCCTTTACACCACAAGAACAAACAGTGTTCTCCCGCTGCACCAAGTTCGCGGCGAGCAGGGCCAACGATGCTCAAAGGCCCTGGCCAGAACGCCTGGAAAGCTGCTTCACTCGCTTCACCTCCATTCATATGTCATATGACTTCAATATACGTCAATCACTAGTGACCTTGTCTTTTACATTCCTTTACACTGTTGCATTGCTCCGCCCCACCTCAGCCAGTTCCTCAAACAAAACTCTGCCATCAGGGAGAGCGTCAAGATCAAGAAGTTTCAGCCTAGTCTGGAGAAAGTCAGCATCTTCTGCTTAGCAACTTCAAGAGGGCAATAGCTTCGAGAAGCATACGTGTGCAGCGTGCTTCATCTCCACACAAAAGCCGAGGCGGGGTCGCATCAGCCGCATGCGCAACATGAAGGATGCAAGGATCCGTCAGTGGCCTGCAACGGCTCCAAAAGAAATCAGACTATCAAGCGCAGGTGTTGGTTCGATTTCAGAACATGAAGCCAAACTCGGCCCTCTTGCAGTTTTAAATTATGTGGATGTGTATGTGACGTGTGTGTGTGTGTGCCTGTGCGTATTGTGCATGTGCATATTGTGCGTATGCTTTTTGTGCACGTGAGTGTGTGAGAGTGAGTGTGAGAGTGTAAGAGTGTAAGAGTGTAAGAGTGTAAGTGTACGAGTGTAAGAGTATGTGTGTGTGTGAGTGAGAGTGAGTGTAAGAGTGTAAGAGTGTAAGAGTGTAAGAGTGTAAGAGTGTAAGAGTGTAAGAGTGTAAGAGTGTAAGAGTGTAAGAGTGTAAGAGTGTAAGAGTGTGAGTGTGAGTGAGAGTGAGAGTGAGAGTGAGTGAGCGAGTGTGTGTGTATCTGTGTGTATCTGTGTGTGTGTGAGGTGAGCACCATAACTTTCACATTGCAGCGTTTGTTGCCGATATTGGTGTCCCGTGAATGCGGCACGCAGTGAATGCGACACGCGCATTTGCAAATCTATGCCCTGACAACGGCCCATAATTCAGAATGTGTCTGCAGAATGTGTCTGCAGAGATCCCATCAGCGCCTACCCTTTGCTGTGAAGATCTTCAGAACTGCCGTTGGGTCCAAGCCGTTCGCGCCCAAGCCATACCTCATTGTCTTTCATGCGCCGCAACGGAGAGGATCAAGAAATCAAGTACAGCATAAGGCAGCGCAAAAGGTGAGTGCAAAGCCAACAAGCACAACATGCGGAAAGCCAGTGGCAACGTATACTAATGCAAGTGCGTGAAAGAAAACGTGGTCTTGTTACAGGTGCTCACAGCTGTCTGTGAGAGGATCTACGCTCAAATGCCAGGCAAAATATTTCCGAAAGAGGGTTGCAAAACAGCCACGTGCATGCGATTCAGTCAAAAACGACCGCACACCACAGATAGGTTGCGCCATGTTGCGCCTCATTACAGTACATTACGTACCACATGGCTGTCACATGGCTGTCACCTGTTCCCTTGATCGGTCCTGGGTGCTACCCACACTGTCTCAGTTGGAAAGGCCACAAGGTGTCCTTTGCGCAGATGCTGCCCTAGGCTCTGAAAGCGTCCATCTTCATGAGGCCTTAGGAGTGGCTCAAGGATGTTCACACTGAGCACGAGTAGAATTATCAACACCGAGACCGGAAACAAAGCAAAAGGTTTGGGCAAAATGGTGCAAAAACATCGAAAACGCCTAGTTGAGACAAACTTGGAACAAAAGCCTTACACTTCAACGATTGGCAATCTTGTCTTGCTCTTTGCCTTTGTTGGATTTCTCTCCTCACCCTCAATTAGCACATGAAGAGCCATTACGAAGCGTTTTTCTCTCCCGTGTTGTGATGGAGGCAACAAGATAGTTGCTTTCGAGACACGGCCGCAGGATCACTGCTGCCTTGCAGTGGAATTTCAGCACAAAGCAAAGACCCGTTTAGATGTGGTTACCCCCAAAAAAAGACAGTCTAAACATGTTAAATACATCCCCTGCAGTCATTTATCTTGTCCCTGCAGCATTCCCATCCTGCCTCAGCTTCGGTCTCTGGAGACCTAGTCTGAACATGTCTGAACAGCATTGAGCAGCAGTACCTTTAAAACGCCTGAGCCTCTTAGCTTATTCAATTTCCATCATGAGAAGAGAAAAAACATGAAAAAACATTCATCTCAATGGACTTATCCCACACCAGGTTGGACAAAATCTTGCTTTCGACTCTGTGAACCTCTGTGAGCTTGGGATGAGATTTGAGTTGCTGCGGGAAATCCCTCGGCTCCAAGTGAAACGGCTGAAAAAAGGAACCCAGCTTAAGCCACGGCTTAAGCCACGGCTTAAGCCACGGCTTAAGCCACTGCTTAAGCCACTGCAGGCTCGTCACTCATCCGGAGCGTATGGACTTGCCATGGCCCAGTCCGGACGGAAGCTCGGCAACTTGGGGTCTTTGGAAGCTCTCACTTCTGCAGGACAGATTAGATTATGTATAATTATAAGTCATGTAGCACGACACAGCAACCACCCTTTCTATCCTTTCTATGGTATCCCGGTATCCCCAAGCTTGATGATAGATGATGATGGGACCCTTGAAACCTGCCTGCCCACTAAGAAGCTTGCATCTGTGGTCCTCAATTCTAACGTTTGGCTTGTCCAGGGTATTATGCGCAGAACTTCGAACATGTTGGCTGTGAGTGGCCGATTCTAGAGCCCAGATTTCTGAACAAAGATGTCAATAAACTTTCATGCTAACATGTAGCAGCACTCATTGGCCTCTGCGCAGTCGCCAAGTTTCTGATAGTATTCCCATGTTCTTTTGACGCTTTTGCCACAAACTTACTGAGCGAATAGCTTGGGACAAAACCCAATTGGTCCAATTCATGAAGGTAAGTTTGGACCTTCCCAACTTGGCCTGCATTAATGCAAGCCCGAAGTAGTGGCTCCACAAAGTCTTCCTCCACAATGCCACCTTTGTTCACAAACTCCTCGAAAATCTGAATGGCTTCTTCCCAAAGGCCACTCTGCTCACAAACCTCCAGTGAAATGGAGAAGCTTCGAACCGGCCGAGTGACCTGCTCAAACATCTCATGGAAAAGCCTCAAAGCCTCAGACCATAGACCACAAACCGCACAGGTTTGCATGGCCTCGACGGTACAAAATGCGTTGGCATTGAGGCCCTCTTGGAACATGTAATCCAGGTAGGCTAGGGCACGTTTCCACTCTCCAAGCTCTCCACAAGAACGAATGGCAGCTTCGTAAGCACGTTCTGTAGGTTGCAGCTGGATAGAGATCACGTCGTTCAACAGCCACAAGGTTTGGCTTGGCTGAGTGCCCTGGCTGAATGCCCGAATGGCAGCAGTGTAGCATGACACGTCAGGTGTAATCCGACGCTGCTGCGCCTCTTGCAGTAGCGGGAGTGCTCGCATCCATTGTCGACCTTCGCCCAAGGCACACGTGGCGTGAAAAAACAACTCCTGGTCAGGATCCAGGCGAGCCGAAGTCGCGGAAGTCGCGGATTCCAAAAAAGACATGGCAATTTCCCACTGCCCGGCATTCCCGACAGCTCTCACTGCGGTCTTGAAAGCAATCATGTCCGGCTTGCACGTGGAACCCATGCTGTTCCAAACATCAAGCGCACCTTCCCAACAACTGCGAGCCCCCAGCGCAGCAACTACATCGGAATACTCCGCAAGAGTTTCCATGTGACCACTTCGCAGCAAAGCGGAATAGATATCATTGGCCTCTCTTGGCGTAATCTCGGGATTCCACAGCCAGCCACGGAGCCTTTGCTTCCACCTCTGCACCTGTGCAGCAGGATGCAAGGCAGCATCTGACGCAAACACATGGGCCACAAGCAGGACACGCCAACAGCTTCTCATGGCCCATGGCTGCAGTTGGCAGCTTCAGCAGGACACATGCGACACAGAAACACACATCAACATGTTGATAAAACATTCTCCAAAGGTACCCCTTAGTTGACATAGTTTGTTCTGCTCGTTGAGGTCGAAAACTTCTGTTCAAGTGAATTTTAATGTGGCTGGAGCATAGTTGATCTCGTTTAGTGAGACCAGCTGGATGACGCATGTGTCTGTGATGTTTTAAATGTTGGCAATGATTGCGTTTGCAGTTGGCAGTTGGCCATTTTAAGCAGGCCTGAAGCTTATTGCTCGGCAACGGGCGAGCAAAGGCACATTTTTTGACAGAATCTGAAGTTGTCTGAAGTCAATAATTTGTTGAGGAAAACCAACACAAATGCAGATCTGTTGCAACTCCACGGCGCCCTTGCATGTTATCTGATCGTCCTTTACCTCCTGGGACTGGCCAGCAACCACCTTTAAAAAAAGTTTGCAAGATCCAAGCATTAAATTATATCTATATCCAATCCGTATTGCTACATTGCCCTACTCCGCCTACAGCGAATGCACAGGAAAGCTTCCCACCTTGCTGTCACTTGAGGCTATTGAATATTGCGTTCTTTTTGCACTCAGCCGAAGACTCCAGGTGCCTCCAGCGCCCCTAAAGCACTCCAAAGATTTGGTGCTCTGGGCAGGTGCTTCAGCAGTTGGAGTACATCTTTCAGGGCATTTTGCTCTGAGTCTGAGCTTGTTGGGCTTGTTGTCGTTGAGCATGCCCAGCAAATAATTCCATCCTCCCTGCGGGCAGCTGCAATGACGTAGCCGTCACAACAGGCAAAGCGCTGGGAGCAGCAAGACGACAACGGTGGTAAAGCATGAAACCAGTAGACTACACGCCTGAGACAGGTGCATGTGTCGGCCACATTCTTGCTTCTGCTAGTTAAGGCCGGGAATGCAACGACATCTCCGGAACGTTCGTCCAATAGAATTGCAGCTGAAAGCGAACCAAGCCCTAAGAGACCCTCGGTCCTCCCGAGCAATTTCTGCCAAAGAAACGGCAAGTTTCCGTCCTTGGAGCACACTGATGCGCTTTCACGCAAGGCTGGCAAAGTGATGTTGTTGTCCTTACATGTTTGCACAGGCGCAAGCACTGAAAGGACAAGGGATGCATCTTCCATCTTGCGCGCATCTGAAATAGTTTCGTGCAACTCCGGGGGGATGTATTTCTGATCTGGATATAGCCGAAGGCTCAGCATTTGGTGTTGCAGCATTTCACCCGCCCTGACCCACAGATTTTCCACCTCCTCAAGGGCAAGGCTTCGCGACGACTCAAAGGCTTGGGGCCCAACAGCATTCGCCATGGCCACGAGCAGACCTTGATCAATGGAGTTCAAGCGCCGCCACGCTGGAGTCGCTGCAATGACACGTCCGCGCCAGCAAATCACAGCGGGTGGCCGCTGCTTCGGAGCATTCTCTGTTGGATTCATCGGATTCTGTGGATTCGGCTGTGACTGGAGATCCGCCGACGCACCCTGTGCATTCGCATCCTTGATGGTTTTCTCTTCTGTGCTGGGCACCACTGGACGGAGATGTGACAAAAGCTCCTCCAGAGCATGCTCAGCTAGACTGCTACATCCAAGCGCCATCCACTCCACAGCTGCACCTGAGAGTCGCAAGCCCAAAGAAGCCGGCCAATGTGTTTGAGGAATTTGGTTTGAGAAGAAGTTCCAGCCGCTGTCTTCGGACACGTCCTCCTCCTCTGCCATAAGTTGAAGCACCACTGGCAACAAACGTTCCCCCAAGACACGGCGCACTGCATCTGCTTGAGTTTGTCCTGCAGCTGCTTTTTGCAAATCATTTCCTAAGATAAGCCGTGCTCCTTGGTAAATGGCATCCAAGCGCCAGCGCGCACGAGTTTCCAGGTCTGATGTCCTGCCAGCTGACAGCTCCGATGTCACCATGGCCAAGCCAAGCCGGGCACCGCTTTCACCGTGCACATCCAAGGCAATGATTGCATCATCTGAACGCAAAATGCTAGGAACAAAGCCCTGTTCCAAGCTGGCAGTCACTAAAGCATGGAAGAGAGCACTTGATGCAAATGACACATCTGGGTAGTTCTTTGCAGCCTGAAAAATTGGCCGCCCAGAATCGTTCGAGATCTGAATGAAATAGCCCATGCTACAAGTGCCACGACATGTCGGCAAGGCACGAATTCTGAATTATTGTTGTGTTTTGCTTAGGTTGTTTTTTGATGTTTACTTTGGTGCATCAACTTCCTACTGTCAGTCTGGTTGGAGGACGGGCCTTGTTCCAAATGTCAGGCAGGGAATTTAAAAAATCTGCATTTTGCGTTTTGTAGGGCTCTTTGCGTCGGATGAAACACGTTGCAATGTCATGCAATGTCTTTCCTAAGGCAGGAATGCACTCCGGACCATCTGAGATAAAAACTATCGTGGTTGCATATTTTGCCAGGAACCTCATCTTCGAAGGTTCTCTCTGGGCCTAAAAACAGCCGTTGAAAACACACCATTGGATTGCTGAAATCTGGAAGCGACAATGCTTGCAGGCAGTATGCCACAGTATTGTGCTTGTTGTTTATTGGGCTTGTTGATTTCCTAAATCATCCTAAATCTAATTATATATGTTGTTTCGAAGTCCCGAGCGTTTCTGACGATATCACATCTGCACATGCAAGACCACAGAGACGTCTTATGAGGATGCTGAGCAGCTGGCAAAAAAATCATTGTCATCGACCCCTCCTTCTTCTGGTATGTCTTGCGAGGAAGGCATCTCCACCCCACTGTTGAATCTTTCCGAATCAGCAGAACGGTCCAGTGGATAGCCAAATGATCCTGAAGCTCTAATTTGGAAGGTCTGTCCATCTGCAGTTGACCTCCAACCCTCTTCATACGCACGAGCCGAGGTCCGCAGCAAGCGTTCAAAACGACCCGATACTGGGACCTTCACTCGGACGAATTTGTCTTGGCACACTTGGCCTTCTTGGACTTCTTGGCTAGGTGGTGGAAATGCAATAGCCACTGCCTGGAGGAACAGGTTGCCGCCGCCTCGCACGTAGTATGGTGGTAAAGGTGTCCCTGTTCGTCTTTGCCATGCAGCTGCAGCCACGTCAAATAGTGGGCGTTCGTCGTTTACAATCGGTGCACCCAGAAACTCCGCACAGTGCTGTCGAATCTGATGATGTCTCCCCGTGATGGGTCGTATTTTCAACTCCGACAGATAGCCGTAATGTGGGCAGGGAACAACTCGCAGCACCTCAATCTCGGTCTCGGCCTCTTCATCAGCGACGGGCGCTGAGACCTTGAAGTGAGTGCCTGCTTCTCCCAGCGATCCACAGACCTCAAGATGCCACTCAAGATGTCGACTAGATGAGTCTCCTGGAAAAATATGATTGTAAGACTCAAGGAAATATGTCATGCAATGTCATGCAATGTCATGCAATGTCATGCAATTGCGTTACCGGAATGTACTGGCCACATCCACGGTAAGAATTGCAAAATCATCTCAAATCCGCCAGCATTGCCATAAGCCTCATCTATAAAAAGTTTATAAGCATTGTAAAAGCTGCAATGGCTCGGTACTCCTTCGTCACTGAACGCCGCTCGAAAGACGCCTTGAGACTTCCTTGGGGCAATTGCTTGAAGTCTCGGATGTGCCCGTGCCCTGAACATCCCTGAACTGCCTAAATTGCCCTGTCTTTGAAACCAAATCATTTCTATCATTTCTATCCTATTCATGTCTTCTATATTCTTCTATTTTATCCTACCCTTCGGCACAATGACAATCGGGGCAAGAGGACTCATATAGAGAGAGAGAGGGTGAGTTGAAAGGGTCTTGCATTACAGTAAACGCAGTAAACGCATACTCCCGCACGAAGAAAAACAGTTTAAACACGTTCGCCCCAACCCAGACGTTCGCCCATATCCAAATAACACACCCAGACAATATCTGCCACCTGAGGATGAACGAAAACAAAACACTTGCATGACACTTGCTATGCGCGGCGATTTTGACTTTAGGTTTCAGGATTTGGGGTTTTGGGGTTTTAGAGTTTTTAGGTTTTCGGTTTCGGGGCTTTAGGGGATTTGAGCATGTCAAAGGATATGCGGGATCAGCATGGGCAAACGTCAGGGTTGCAGCGAACATGTTTAAAAAATGTGTTGAAAAATGATGAAAATGGTGTATGTCAGGCATGTCCATGTGTACATGTCCAGATTTGAGGCTTTGAAAGTGAGAACCTGGCATGATCTGACACACATGCAGCGACTTATTCTCGCTCTCTCCATCGCCATCTCAGGAGATCAGCAGCGACTTATTATATCTTGTGAGAATCTTATGCAATGCAAGCTGCGCATGGTCTCCTCTGCGGTAGCCACCAGCACAGGTCCAGCTACACGGAAGTCCAACCGATGGCAGACCCGAGGGCATCGACCTTTGAACAGTTTCAAATGGTTCAACAGCTTGAAGAGGCAAAAAGCTGTGGCATTGGCCCACTGTGGGCAACAAAAGCAAAGCCGCAGTGTTAGTAGCACCAGTAAATGCCAGTAAAAAGCATGTATTCATGTTTTCCATGTATATTCAAACTGTCGATTTGAAGTCGGCCCATGGAATCAAAAGTCAGCAGAAACACAAGTTTGAATGAATCCTACGGATCCTCGAAACAGGTTTCCACGGTTTCTCCTCACCTTGTGGGGCAAAGTTGCATTGAAAGATTTGAAAGGTAGACTGTCGGTAGACTGCAATGTCAATCACAAAGTACTGTAGTGAATAGCAATCGCATCCAGGGTGCAATGAGTACCAGTCAGCGGTGGCTGGACCAAAGCAGGAAGATATCCCTCCAGAGTCACTAAATTGGTGTTGAAAGCACATGGCTTGCAGTGCATGCCGGGCGGCTTGTTCACCTTACCGAGTTCTCTGCCCAAGCACTTCAGAGGCAATAAGAATAGTTGTAAGACGCAAAAGTTAAGGGTTCACAAGTCATTAAGAGCTAGAACCAATACAAAATACCACAAGCTCTTTGAACATCTCTGAACAAGCCAAGCCACAACGGCCCAACCGGCGTGAGGGTCTTCTTCCACGAGATAAATTCCTTGCATTATTTTCGGGCCAGATCCACAGTAGAAAAAAACACGCACCATTGACAGTACAAATCAATACAAATCATGTAAAGATCATATGTCTTGTTCAGTCATAGGCATTTGGAAAGGCGTGGTTCAAATGGACGCACCCTGTGGTGTTCCACGCTTGCCTACAACAGCGACTAAGCTCTCCCCGCAAAGAGAGAAGGGGTCTCAACCTGAATTCACTCTTAGAATTCCAAGCCATGCCACTGGCTTCGGGCCTTTGCGACTTGCTATTCCAAGACTGCAACAATCCTGCCAAGTGGTAAAAGTGATGAAAAGATATCTATATATATATATTACATATATTGATGCCAATGCATGGCAGAGTGTGAAGAAATCTGAAGAAAGCTTTCAAATGAACAAAGGTCAGATGCCCGGTGCTGATCACTATCTGCGCCACCAAAGTCAGCATCAGGTCCTTCAACTCCTTGCAGAATGCTGTCAACCAAGCCCATAGATGCAAGCAGAACGCTACCTCAAACAGCGTCACAAGAAGTGATCCATTGGATTCCATTGGCCACTAGTGGCCACTGGAATATGATTTGATTTCCTCATTGATTGGCCATGGTTTGCACGTACTGTCATCAATGAAGAAGTTTCCCAAGCAACCATCTCCACTTCGAACAATGGCTAGGAAGGCCGCTGAAACCCGCTGCTGCTGCACCCTGAGGCAATGGCCTATCGGTGGCGCCAGCGCGTCATGCTTGGCATTCAGCTCACCGTCTACCAGCACACGCCCTTGCCGTATCGCTTTCCGTGCAGCCTTTAGAGTAGGTAGCTGGGGGAAAGCGACGGCGACCACATGATGCAGAAAAACCACCTCCTGTCGGTCAAAGGCAATTTTGGCCTGAGCCGTGGCAGGCGCTGCCTCTGTCCATCTCTAGACTCTAGACGTCACTAACGGCGCCAACGAATTGCCCTGTACTAGTAGGACCTCTGATGGCGGCAAATAGAAGACAAAGTATTTGAAGATGGTGATGATGTTGCTTGGATATCCTTAAATGATCTTGTATAGTTCATGGTTACTGGTTCACTGTTCTTATATGTTGATATATTTTGAATTATATATGTTGATGATTTTGATGAAGCGCTTGGACACGGCTGGCCTTCTGCAGCAGCTCCTCGGACACTGTGACAGCGACTCGCGACTCTTCCAGCAACTGCCATTGTTGCAAAGGGCTCGGCAGAGGGCTTGACACCCCTCCTGTACACATGGAGATGTCAGGAGTCGGAGACGAGTCGGAGACGCACAAAGTACAAAATACAATCAAAATACCAGGAAAAGTTCCCACGTTCAGTTCTGCAATCCAAAGTAAAAAAATGCCGAAAGCTGCCAGAATTTCAAACATGCAGCCCATAGAGTCCAAAAATAGAAACGATGTAGCGGCAATCGCGTGCAATGGGTGTGTCAGTTGCCGACCATTGCTATGCATAAGAATTTCATCATGGCCTTCTGACATCTCCCAAGTTGGCCGACCATGGCGGCAGAAACAAGAATTATTTCGCTGTTACAGTACATTCATGTACATTCCAGAGCCTAGTACGCAAACTGAGAACAGCACAACCGATGCTCACCAACCCAGCTTCTTGCTCCATGCATGTGCTCACTGTCTGCTTTTGACCAAAGGAGTTTGGGTATGTTCGAATGCTGACGCGTCAACTCTCAAAATAAGTTTGTGTCATGTATTGTCATCTTTGGGGATGAGTGGGGCTTCCTATGGATTTCTATTCACGCACACTTCAGACATGACATGGAGGCAGAGAGTAAAGATGGTGTATTTACCCCAACCACTGGCAAGTCTCATGCAAGTCTCATGGCACTGTCTCTCAATGTGGTGGTGAAAGCTGCAACATGGACATTTCAAGGCCAGTTTGAAGGTCCAACAGAGCTGGCTCAGCAGTGAACCACAGCGCGTTGAGATCTGACCTTTGTCGCTCCGCTGACCCAAGCGGTCTGAGACAGGAGCCTGTGACTCTGGGTGAGATGCTCAAGGCTGCGAATGACCAGCGCGGTCACCCAGCTGAAATATTCACATAACCTCACAGGTAGATTGGCACTGATTGCGATGGGGCATTCCCATGGAGCTTATCCAGTGCCTGAGCGGAGTGAAACACTTCTCTGCACTGTTTCTGAGGGCAAACGTTGCAACATGTTGCGAAGCTTTTCGGAATTTCAATGAAAATCATATATATATATTATACAGTATATATATATATTCTTTTTGATTCAAGGCGTTTGAGTCGCTGCTTGGAAAATCTGAGCTGTGAATTGACCTTCTCCTGCTCGGTCTGATGAGGCTCTCAACAACCCAAAGATTTCAACGCTGAAAACTGCGCTGAGCGATGCTGAGCGTCTTTCATATCATCTTCGGTCAGCTGAAAATTAAATACGTCGGCATCCTCTGCCTCCACGCAATCCCAATGGAACTGCAACAACCCTAAACAGATGAGTCATGATGACCCATCTGAGTCATCTGAGTGCTTGTTAGCTTTCATCAAACATGCAAACATCCTGTTGGAACATCCTGTTGGGACCTCAAGGCTATCAACCTGCATATCACTCGGACCCTTTGAGCAAGAAGCAAGAACGGTCTTGAATACCAAAAGACAAGCAAAAATGATTGCCACATATTGCCACTCAGGCAGTCTGTGGATGGCCCAAAAATATGTCTGCAACTCTCGGGAGATTTGCCGTGCTTGAACAAGCACTATCATTTATCGATCGCAATGAAATACATGCCAGAGCAAACGTTCCGCACGCGCCTCCTCCTTTTTGTCGATGAACATCTGCTCTAGGCATGGGGGGAGCAGACATGTCAGATCCAAAACTGCACAGCAAAGAATGCTAAGCACGTGACCCAGGCGTTTGTCTGTGCTCAACTGATCAGCTTGACTGATCAAACTGTCAACAAATCAAAACAGCAAAAGATCATCAAACCAACAAGGCTCACACGCTAACGCTAGTCGATCCAGACTATGCATCAGCCATAGGTAAGAGATCAAAAAGCTGAGCACATACGCTGACCCATCCCAAGATCTTCAAAGGAGTGGGTTGCGCCGCCAACCCACCCAGATTAACTGGGTGGGCGGGTTGGGAAATTTTCAGCCTGGGGTGTGATCTCTGAGTTTCCTTTCACTTCGCGCCAAAATGGCGTACGAAAAGTCGAACGTTCAACTGATCCTCAGTGATCACACAATCCATGAATACATGAGTGAAAATGATAAAAGATAAACAGGAAAGATCAATAAATGAACATCTCTTAAGAGTTATCAACCTGCCCCAGACCTACCTAACCGTTGGCATGTTAACAACTCTCGGGAGATTTGCCGTGCTTGAACAAGCACTATCATTTATCGATCGCAATGAAATACATGCCAGAGCAAACGTTCCGCACGCGCCTCCTCCTTTTTGTCGATGAACATCTGCTCTAGGCATGGGGGGAGCAGACATGTCAGATCCAAAACTGCACAGCAAAGAATGCTAAGCACGTGACCCAGGCGTTTGTCTGTGCTCAACTGATCAGCTTGACTGATCAAACTGTCAACAAATCAAAACAGCAAAAGATCATCAAACCAACAAGGCTCACACGCTAGTCGATCCAGACTATGCATCAGCCATAGGTAAGAGATCAAAAAGCTGAGCACATACACTGACCCAGGCCCTCTCGCTTTCACTCGAACAGTGAGGATGGCCAAGATGCTTGGACAGTACGCCATCCAACTGCTTCCCCTGAAAGGACTTATCTCTTGATGGCCAATCAGCCGGATTGGCATCTGTCGACACACGGTCGATGAAGATGCGAACTCTTAATTGAAAAGCTAAGTCCCAAAACAACGAAATAATTCTGCAAAGATCATCCCTACTAGAATAGCCTTTCACTAAGGAGCCTTCGACCGCCTCAGAATCTATGAGCAAGATGACATCGGCTCCGCGAACGCGCTCCGCAAAAGTCTCCAGGGCAAGCACAGTCGCGATCATCTCCACTGGGACAATCTGGGTGGTGCGCTGGAGCCAACGCTTCTTGATCTCAACTGGGACCGTAGCAGAAAACTGAACAGGCTGCCTCAATCTCCTATCAAACATGACTGCCCCGACACGATCGGGTAAAGTTTCTGAAGAGCGAGGATCAGGAGTGAAGCCATCCGTGAAAATGACCAGATCCGCTGGTTTTGAACATGCCATCTCGATTGGTCTTGGCGGCCCTTCATTGACGAGCTTCTTCCACTGCTTCAGAGCTTCTATCAGAGGCGCATCCAGCTTGAACTCATTCTTGATGGGAAAGCGCAGGTACTGTCGTTCAGAGATCACGCGCAAGAAAGCCCTGCCGACTTTCCCCCACAACTGAGATGCACCAAACATGAGCTTTCCTTTCAGCTTCCCCGCAGAGCCGGGATCCAGAAGCCCTGACAGAAGGATAGCGTCAATCTCGGAAGAGATCTCTTCCCGACGTTCCTTCTTGATCTCAAGCTGCATGGCTTCCAGGTTGTAGGTCACTCCCAGAATAGTCGGGGCGCTCGAGAGCTGCAGTTTCTTCTGATCAAACCTCGCTCCGAGCCATTCATGCACTTTCTCTGCCACTTCACGAGCACAGCCAGCTGTTGTAGCTGGCTCAAATCCGTACTTGTCGTCGTAGAAGCTAAAAGCAACCAGACCAAAAATAGAGACCAGAAACTCGTTGATGGCCGCCGACCGGCGATTGTAATTGTACACCGCAGACACCAACCCAAATGAGTGCCCTACCATGACAAAGAAACTTGGGAGCCCAGACGTAGGATCCTTCAGGCAGATGACAGAGAACTTCCTATGATCAGGTCGTACAGCGACTTGACGATAGGCTTTCCTCTCGTCCAAGACCCAACCTAGGATCGCCTCGTCTGGCGCAACTTTCCTCAGGAGCCTAAGTACTGCCACATTCATGTCAGTAGACGGCAGTTGGAGCTTCTCAGTGATCTTGGTCACTTGGTTGATCATGTTTGTCGTAGCACTATCGCAACCACGCACCTTGTTCTTTTGAACGACCTCAAAGCGCTGTGTTGGGATCCAATCTTCGCAACCCAGACATTCAGAGACTTGGGCCTCCGACGAAAAAGGGCCCAAGCAAGAGCCTTCTTCTACGTCCTCGATCGAGGCTTGCCAGATCTTCTTCAAATTTTCAGAGACTGGCACACCTTTCACACGAGAGACAATCTTCCGCCGGAGAGCCCAGGCCCGGTCTAGAGCTGCTTGAACTGGTAGATCTTTTTGAGGCTTCGGATATGGTGGCCATCGACCGGTGGCGGCGATGGGCCCCACGATCGGAAAACCGTGCAATAAATGCTGCGGAAGGTCATGATCCACAGAGTTGCATGCTGCCAGCATCTCCGCATAGAGCTCCACATGGCAAACTTGACCAAGCTGAGGCGCTTCGTGATCATGACAACCTAAAAGCAAACGCCGCAGAGCTGGATCTGGCTGTTGGCGGATCCGAGCAATAGAGCGAGGCAGGAGCTCCAAGGCGCGCTGCTTCCAGAACGCCAGGAGCCGCTGGCGCTCTGCAAGGATAACCGCAGCAGGACGTTGTAGTTGAGCAAGAGCCTGAGCAGAGGCTTCAGGCAGCATGACCTCCGCAGTGAAGGGGTGAACCACTTGGAGAGCGACACGAATGGCTTCCCCCGGCTCCATCTCAAACTCCAAGAGCGGCTTAGCGGCCCCACGCTTGAGCTGATAGCCAGCGAGCTGTGCCTTGGCTGCCGACTCAGCTTGGCGGTGCCCGGGCCATTGCTTGCTTGACCCCAGGGCACGCTTGCGATCACCAGCCGGAGTCTGCAGTTGAAATGAAGCGAAAAAGTGCGCCAGCGGGTTGGTGAGCAACTCCGAGACCGCCGTCGCCACAGTAGCGCACAACGCCCAAGGATAGACTTGAGCCTGTTTAGTGCGAAAAACCATCCGCTGCCGCACAGGATCCCAAACTTTGCCTTTGAGCTTGACATGCTGGTGACCGCCAGGGCAATGCATGCACACATCGTCGAGCAGATCGGTCGAGCACAGAAGGCGCGTTGGCTTGAGGGAAGGAGCACCAAATGCACACTGGTCAAAATCCAGCCCGAGCGCACGAGTCTCGTGGATCAATTGCCGTACTGTGGGTGTGACCCACATCAAACTCAAAAGGGGGTTCTCAATAGAAAAATTACCCCCGAACTGGAAAACACACTTGCAGGCTTCGGCTGTGCGAAAAAGAAAAATGTTACCAAGCATGACCAGTGCCTCATTGTCTGCTGACAAGCTCGGCAGGCCAAGCGGCTCAGCTGCCGAGCGCAGTGGCGGGGGGCCGCCATCGAGCTTTCGGGCTGAGGTAAAAGTGTTGCACGGAGTGCCGCAGTGCAAAAAGAGCACGATACCCAGCTTGAGCACAAACATGATGCGATGCCACATTGTGAGATCCACCACATCCACTGAGACGGTACTGACTCTGACAACACAATGTCCACGGGAGGCAGGGCTTGAACTCCAGCCAGACGAACAGCATCTGAGATGCCTGCCTTGCCCGCAAACAACTCAAGGAAAAAGGGGCCTGATTCGGGCAAAACTTCAGGCCTAAAGTGAGGTGGGCTCCACTGAAATGCAGAGACGGCAAGGGCGGCCTCGCCTCTCCGGTCCGAACGACTCTTCGTCTGGGGACCATCACTGGGCTCTGCTGGATCCAGAAGCCAATGGCCTGGTGGCGGATCCATTACCACCGGCCGCGCAGGAGGCGATCAGTGGTTGCCGTGCCAAGGATGATCCTTGCCACACTCAACACAAACATGCTTCTGGCGACACTGATCACCGAAGCGGCAGCCCAATGAGCAGTTGTAGAAAGGACAGCGCTTGGGGCCCGAGTACTTGAAGGAAATGAGCCTCTGCCACTCTTTTGCGGGAACGCGCTCATCACGAGCTGCCTTCTTCGGGGCCTCCGAGCTGTTGCCCTTCTGAGCCGCTAGGGCCACCTTGGCCCTCTGCAAAGTGGCCTTCTGCCGAGCTCTTCTCTGCTTGTTCTTGCGAGCTTTGGGCGAAGTCTTGATTGCCGACCCAGATCTGGACCTCGAGCGCTTGCGCACTGGGGTGCTCGGAGCACCGGTGTTGAGCGCCTGCTTGAACTTGTCGAGCTCCGCGCTGGACCTGGCATCATTCCAGAGCTGCTTGTGGTGGGTGAGCACCTCTAGCAATGCCGCCGAGAAAGTGGTGAACTTCTTCCTCTGGTCAGAGCTGACACGATGTACTTTCTTCCGGATGAGTGTGTCCACAGTCAAAAGCAAAGCAAGACCACGGTTCTCGTGCCGCCATTCCTCGAGCTCTGCCAAATACTTGAGGGGGCCAGCAGCGAACGAGAACTCGCAAATGTTGAGATACTCCAGCGTAATGAAAAAGGTGTGGAGCTTGTCCATGACCTGCGTCTCGGAGCTCGCTGAAGTGGGTTGATCTACCATCACCACCCTCAGGAGATCTTCAGCATTCTTGCTGATGCCTGACTTCTGAGCGATCTGTTCATTGCGGGTGCGGATCTCGCCCACCTCGTAGAAATGCACAAAGCCATGGACCAAATAGTCGCGCTGAACCCGCTCAACGAACTTGCGGTGAGGTTCTCGATGAAGAGGGAGGAGGACGTCCGGGTGTCGAGCGACAAACGTATCGCGAAACTCAGCGTGATCCTCCCCTGGGATTTCTGGGACTTTGGACGGATCCTCCTCCATCTTTGCTCTTCTGGCTGCAAAATGATCCTGCATTGTTGAGCATGTCTTCCAGACCGCAGCCAAGTTGGTCAGGGCAAGCTCTTGCGCTGGAGCGTCAGCACCAAGCCGATTGTTATCAGCCACAATGGTGCGCAGAGCAGCCTTCACCGCATGAATGGTGTCGCCGAGCATGGCAAAGGTCTCAACAGTCAACAAACCCGAATCAGCAGCGAGCTTGCACAGCTCCGTGGGCACCCGTTGCCGCCCAAGGATCTGTCTCAAAGGCAATTCGGGCGTCTTGTCAATGTCATAGTTGGTGCGATCGACCATGGTTACGGATTGATGACCGCTCAGAGCCCAAACTAAAGAAAATGAAATCAAAACGGAGTTAAAACAAAAAAACACGAAATCCATGCTGCAGCATTGAGAACCCTACCGAACAACCAGGCACTGAATGCAGCAAAGTTTCAGCTCAGTGACCGGGTCAGCTACCTCGACGAGCTGAGAAGCACCTGGACGCCACCTCTGGCCGAACTCGTGCACAATGCTTGCAGAGCACTGAGACATCCGGCAGTGTAGAGCCCACTTCGGTGCAATCTTCAAGGCGAATGCGACCGCATGCCATCACTTGATCATCATCCACCTGCAGGCAGTGGTAGCGATAGTCATGGGACGCTCGTGACCCTTGCGTCTTGACGAAGAATATCACCTCGTCTAGAGCACAGAGGTCGACTTCATCGAGGACTGCGTCAGCTGGGGCCTCGAACGGGTGTTCCTGCTCGACCATGTCTTTCACGAGCTGGCGCACCATCTGAGCCGGTACGCTAGTCCGATTCCGTGTGTATTTGAGCACCAAGGGGCCCGGGTTCTTCCAATTGGCCTGCAAGCCAATTTCTTCCGTCGAGCGACCTGCATGAACAGCTGCGTCCAGCAGAGTCACACGAGCGGAATGAGCTGTCAGCGATGACAGGGTGCTGATCAGCTCCTTCAACCGCACCTCTGGGCCCTCGAACTTCTGGTTCAGAGCGTACTTGGCCAGGAACTTGAGCCACTGAAGAGACCTCTGGTAGGAAGCCGGGGAGTTCTTGAACTCCTCCCTGGTGTTGAGCTCACGCATCCAGTAGTCGCGCTCCAAGTCTTCTGAACTAAACAAGTTCCAGCCCTCTTCAAGCCACTTCGACTCTTTGAAGCCAACGTGGGGCACCACGAACTTGGTTCCGCGACGACGGCGCTCGACCTTCGTCTGCCACGCCACGCCGAACAAGCCCTCCTCGGACATGAGCAGCTCCATGGGCTTCACATGCATGGCATCGTCGAACCTCAGCGACGCAAAGACCATGCAGAGCCACCACCATATGAAAAGGCGAGCAGGCGCTGGTTCCAGCTTGTCACAGACGAACATCTCAAGGCAGCCCACGAGCTCGATAGAGAAGGGAACCGCCTCTTTCAACGTGGTGGCCCTTTTCTGGGTGATGTCCGATTGAACAGCCAGCAGAGCAGGATGAGCCAGATCAGGACACTCGATGGCGAGCTTCGAAGTGACCCACCTGACGGACGTGCGAAATGACGGCAGCACAGAGGGCCCACACTCTTTCTGATCGGGGGCCAAGGCATACTTGAGCAGCTTGTCATGGGTCAGCGGGAACACACAAAGGCCTTCTGCCGTTGCCCAATCTTCGAACCTTTCCCAAGCTGAGATATGAGCTGCCATCGTCCTAGGAGCACCAGATGAGAGGACTAACTGTCGCAGCCGAGCAGTCTCTGCTGCTGATAAGCCCTCACCATTTGAAGTGTCCTGGAGCAACTTTGAGAAGACCCCTGCCCGCTTGCCGATCTCCTCCAACTTGTTGGACCATTTGAGCTTGGCGGCATTCTCTTGGTCCAACAGTGGGGTGGCCGACGAGTCATTGGAGTCCTTTTTCAAGAGCTTCCTAGGGGGCTGTTGAGGCTTAGAGACGAGCGACTTCATGGCCAACTTGCGGCGAGCCTCGGCCGCCTCAGCGCTCAGAGCAACAGTCACTGGGTCGCACAGCCCAAACCCTAGTTGGTTGGCTGTGGAGGCAAAATACGCCTTCTCGATCGCACTGGCCAAGCTCCAGTACTGCTCAAGCATGAACCCATTCCCCAGGATAATGTCACGAGCATCTGGATCAAGCGATGCCTCCCACTCATGAACTTGGACCACAAACTCTGGCGCTGACCGCACCTCCATCGCGGCGATCAAAGCCAGGTTCGAGTACTGCGAGGCCAATATGGCCTGTGCGAAATCATCAGAAAACACAGGCAGGGCCAAAATCTTAGAGGCCCATCTGTCTGATTGGTGAGCCATCTTGAACCCTCCGTACTGCAAGGTATGACCAACCATCAAAACAGACGTTTCACAGAGAATGAAAATTTCAAGGCCACGACCCCTCAAGGCATGACTCAAATCAAGTGTCACATGTGCATGAACATGCGGGAAGGGCGTGATAGAGAAACAAAGTGATGCTGAACAAACACAAATCACAAGTGAGCAGCATGCACTCATGAAAATCTCAGCTGGGCCCTGCCACAACCGACCCCACACCCTGCTGAGGCGTGTGCCTGAGTGAGGTGATCCGGCACTTGATTTTTATCAAAAACGATCGTCCAATAAACTGCACTCAAAATCACTTCTCACGACTCAAGATCATCCGCACCGTGTGGCATGCAGACAAGACCCTGTTGTGAGACAATGCAAAGAGCTCAAATTAGCAACTGAAACTCCAAAATAAATAAAATCAGAACTCAGACCTATTAAATGAAATCAAGGAGATACAGTGTGACTAGAGCAGATGACTGATCAGCCGCAAATATGACAAACGTGGCCTCAGTCTCTCTGCATCAGATCACACTGGGATCCCACAACAGTGCTAAGGTGCATACCTGAGCCGGGTTGCGATTGCACCCCCCCCCGGTTCATCCGAGCTGGAAGTGGGTACAACCCAAAGAAATTTGTGGGATCCACCCACGGCCCGAGCAGCATCCTACCAAAGAACTGTGCTATGGGGCAAGGTGAAAGAAACAGAAAAAGGGGGGCCCAAAGACCCAAATTGGAGGGAGCCCCAAACCAACGCGGAGGGGGGACCCAACCAAACGCGGGGAAACCACAAAAGAAAACAAGGGCCCCCCACCTAACACCCATACACAGTTCAGGCGGATGTGCCAGCTTTTCACAACTGAACGGGCGGACGGGATCCTCCGCAAGTGGATTCCTGTGCTCTTCTAGACGAGCAAATTTCGGGCTGAGCAGGCTCTTCAGCAGTCAGTCACCTCTTCGACCACAGGAGCCGGTCCAAATGACTTTGGGGCCGCTGCCGGATGATGGTATCCAGAAACGGCGGTGTCAACTTGATCAAGGAAGGCCTGTGGAGTCACAGTGGCTGGAGCCATCGCTTCCGCTCTCCGTGTCTCGAGCGACCTCCTCTGGACCAAGACCGTTCCCCCTTCAGGAGCAGCACACATCGGCGCCTGACCAGGCTCTGTCACTGACACACCCACTTGAGCGTTGGGTGTCACAGTGAGCGCTTGGCTTGAAGACCCAGCCAGGTCGCGCAAACGGCCCGGAGCCGAGGCCAGGGGCACCACCGACGGCCCCCCTGTCACAGGCGGCAGAACTGCCGTGCTCTGCTCTTGTTCAACATCATGAGCTTGCAGCGCCAAAGTAGTCTTCGGCACGATCTTCAACTCAGACCTGAAGAGCGGCGACTCACATGTCAAATGTAAGTTGGCAGGGTGAGTGTTGACTGCCACTTCGCCGATCCTGGGGCCGGTCTCATCGATCGATGCCGCCTCCACAGCAGCTGTCCAATGAGCATGGATCCCTGCAAGTTGAGAGAGCTGCATAGTCTGATCAGGCCCTTCGATGCGAGCAAAGTGTTCGCGGCACCAGCGGGCATTCTTGATCAGAGTCGGTCCAGAAACCCTGGACACAACCAACCACGTCGATGGCACCACAATCTGCGAGCAGCGCACGTCAACGGAGTCACCTGCAGAGCGAAACCTGAACTCCAATCGGTCAGCATCAAGTCCGATCGAGTCTGCCGATGACGTTGCTGTGATCCTCACTTCAAAGTGACACAAGGGGTAGTCCATGGCAACGACCACGCCCCCATCACTGCAGGCATACAGGCGACCGCCCACTTCAAACGATGTTGCGATCACTCTCCAGCCCTGAAAAATGGTGACCACCATGGAGGGAATGAACAGTGTTGAGTTCATGTTCCTGATCAAGGCATCGTTCAGGTAATTCATTTGAACTGTCATATCCTCATCCGAGCGGTACCCTCGGAGCTCGAGGTGCAGGAGCAACTCACCCTCTACTTTGAACTTCACGTCGACCCACGTCGCACTCTCGTTGGTCATCATAGGCCAACGGAACGGCTGAAAAGCCGGATGAGCCATAACGGCGCCAGTAGGGGCATCCCACTTTGCGCATGGAACTGTGCCGTATGATGTCATGCAGCCGACCAGGATGAACTTGAAGCCGTCAAGCGTCCTGACGTAGAACACGTTCATATGGTATCCAGAATTTGGGGATCTGATCAGCTTCCCATCAGACAGCACGTTGATCCCGCACTGGGCATTCAGCAGGATCTCATCTAACAGCCAGCCTTGGAACGGCGACTGGATCCGTTTGTCACGGCTGTCCACCACCAAGACCGATCGCTCGTTTTCTTGAGCACCAAGCTGTTGGATGAATGGAGGGAGCTGAAAATTCTGGGAGTTGGCCCCAGACATCTGGCCCCACTTGATCCCTTTCTGGCCTTTGCGCTTGGCCTGAGCTTTCTGAGCAGCCAACCTCTTGGCCTGCTGTTGTGCTGATCCAAGCACTTGGCGAGCAGCTTGATTGGCTGGAGCATCTGCATAGGCTGGTTGAGCAGGAGGAGCGCTAGGTTCAGCTCTAGGTGGATCCACTTCACCCCAAGCGCTAAAATCAGCTGGTGGTGGTGTCCCTGAACTGGTCGATGCTGGTTGACCCGCTGTCCACCCTTGTGCCTGGCTACCCTGAACTAAGCTGGGAGGTGGCGCTTTTGGTGCCTGAGCAGGCTGGCCCACATCTGGCACCGAGCCGTCACCCATCATAGTCCATGATGTGGTAGAGCCCAAATTGCTAGCACTATCCTCTGGCCGCAAGAACTCAGCCGCACGAGATGCTGCCATGGCCCTCTGCTTGGATAACGGCGCAGCAGAGGACACAGGAGGAAAATTAGGCATTGAACAAAAGCGGGTCAGACGATCACTTCAAACCCCCAGGCCCTCAATCAACGGGCAGAACAAATTTTCAGCCTGGGGTGTGATCTCTGAGCTTCCTTTCACTTCGCGCCAAAATGGCGTACGAAAAGTCGAACGTTCAACTGATCCTCAGTGATCACACAATCCATGAATACATGAGTGAAAATGATAAAAGATAAAAAGGAAAGATCAATAAATGAACATCTCTTAAGAGTTATCAACCTGCCCCAGACCTACCTAACCGTTGGCATGTTAACATCTCCAAAACATCTTCAAGCAGAACAGATAAGTGAAACAGGGCGTCTGTCTTAAGATCGAAATATGCGGTACACGTGTCTCACCTGATGCTCAGCTGAGCTGGACTGAAATGTGATGATGTTGCCATGCTGGAGGATCCACTTCAACGCAACCTCAGAGATTCAAAGTTCATCAAAGTTCTTCAGGTCCCAAGACACTGAGACCTTGTGACTCTTGAATACTCTCGAAACTTCTGAAATATCTGAAATTGAAGGAAAGAAGTTGAAGAAGGAGATACAATTTCACACACATCAAAGTTTCAGAAGCAGTGCAAGAGAGCTGCTTGGTAAGTGCTAATGTTATGTGCGGCCGCCACTGACTTGATAATCTTGTTGTCACCTCAGGCAAACCCAGGCTGCGAGGCGTGTGCAAAATGCGTTCAAAAGCAGGTAGCAGGTGCAGCACGTTCCTGCACCAAGTGGCGAATATCACCGGAATGACCACTGCGCCCAACTGGAGAATAAGCCTCCACAGTGATGTTCATCTGTTTTGACGTGTCCATTGCCTTGCAAGGAGCGCAGACTTGCCACAGTCTGCTACAACCAGGTCATCTTGCTTCAGAGCCGCGCTGTTGTATCAAGCGCTATTTGCACTCTTCAACAATTTGTTCATGTGTTTATCGAAGTTCCGATGCTTGAGCATTGCTTGAGCATCACCTTACAGCTAGGATGAAGGAACCTCCTCGTCATACTCCAAAACGTTCAGCTCCATCTGGTTGACCTAGGCCAGTTATGGTTGTGCCAGGTGTGAACCCCTTTCGAAGCAGTGACAAAGCTGATTGCAGCCGTATTGTCATTCCTTCATGTGTATTTGTCACCTACTGATTGCTCTTGCATAAAACTTTCTGGAAGGAATCCATGGCAGTCCAAGAAAACGTGAAATGATTCAGAATCCTGGAAACGCATGGAAATGGATCATGAAAACAAGTGGAAGACCACAGTTCACAACTGGGGAAAAGGCAGCAGGACGAACTTTGGCAGTCGCAAGCAAGGACTCCTGAAGGTTAGTACACAACAAGAAGCACATGCCAGGCATCGCCGGTTGGTTGCAGCCATATTTGCTTTAGCTTTAACCATCTATCATTCGTATTCATTTGTGTGTGTGTGCGCGTCACTTCTATATCTTCTATCACTGTATGTTGATGCATTTTGCAAGAAACTGGTCATGTCACAGGCCAGTTGGGCTAGGGGGCCAATGTGTATCAAATTGTACTGGTATCTTCTGGTTGGAGGCCCGAATGTGGCTGCAACATGCTGCAAACGATGATTCTCCAGCAGGGAGCAGCTCATAAACCTGTACAGCTTAGAAAACGCCCGGTTGTTCAACTGAGAGAAAACTGCTGCACAACTGCTCGGCTCACGCCGCTCCAAGTTTGACTTCTTGAAGTTGCTGACACCAATAGCGCGCAAAGTTCCCTTGCTATGGTAGTCTTCCAGAACAGACCACGCCTGGAAAACAGCTCTCTGACGTACGGAGTCCAAATGATATCAACGAGCTTTTGACAAGCACTGCAATAATGTTCTTCAATGCCATGCTATCAAAACATATCAAAACCATCTTTATAGTGGTCATTGCTATCATTGCTAGCTAGCAAGCAAACGTTTTCTTGCTGCTGTGTGGGTGACAGGGCGGCAGCGAACAAAGCCTCCGAGCAATTCCCTGATGGATAGTGGATCAGCAAGAGGTCAATGTAGTCCTTGGTGTGAAAATGCCAGAACAACTTTGCGCCACCAGGATTTGATCAGCATCATCCAGCTGAGGACAGGTCAGTCTTAATGATGCTGAACTGCACACTCGTTATAGGCCACGCATAGCCACAGGCTATCTCTGGGTCTTTGCAGAGAATCATGATTCCAATCCATACGTTTGAACGCATTTGTAGAACTTCGCCAAGTGAAACATGTATGCAGCTCTTTGCAGGCGTGTATCAGTTTGCAGCTGCTTCAAATCATATTCAACGCTGTATTTTGTTCCCATGCAGCCGGGAATCCTCAGATGCATTTGCAAGAATATGTCCACATTCAAACAGTTGAATAGAAGGTTTGGCCTTTGTACAGTTGTCTGACCCTCCTCCTGTCTTTGATCCAGGGGTTAACTAGCCAACCCAGAAATGGAATCGTAATTGCTCGGAACTGGAGGAAGTCAAAAGTTGCGTCGTGATGCGTCACGACAAGCAGATGTTTCTGCTGAAATTAGACTCGTCTCAGCCAATTTCTCCGGAGACTTCAGAGATCTTCAGAACCAAGTCGCTTCGTGGTGATGAAGACATCCTTGCGATCTATGCCTGCTTTTGCCAGCTCCTGGATATGATTCTTGTGCTACTAAGAAGATACACGGGAAAAATCAAGATATTTCAATTGCCCAGATCGCCTTTTCAGACTGCAAAATAACTCGGCGAATGGGCACTGGTCCTCCGGAACAACTGATTGGTCTCGATAGACAAGGGCCTTGCTGGAAAGACATGTGACAAATCGCAGTTAGTAATGACAATGAATACATAGCATAAGTATATGTGTGTAATTGCAATGACGTCCGCGGGTAGCTGCGCACAAAGAGAAACGAATCAAGGAGTTGTTGACATTTCTGGCATCTTGAGAAGACCTGAGCGCAGTCCTGTTGCCTTGACATTTGCTGGTTGCTGAGCATCCTGCTGTGTCAATTCCTCGCCCACCCTGCTTGATCCAATTCGCAACAATGGTGGACGCATTAGATCTTTCCAGCCCTCCGATGCCTGTAAGGAATGGAACTTGAAAAGTGGCACCACTAAATCACTAAATCAAGTCAATGAAAAAAAGTGCAAAAAGGCAACAGAGTTCTTTCTTGCGTCGGTGACTTGTGCCATCTTGCGCCGCTGCACCATCATGTATGACAGTTGGGAACACTAGTAGTAAATCTGCGTGCCTATAGACATCACAGGCATATGGACCCCTGCGGCAATCTCCACAGTAGGGATCTGCACATCAGATATGGCCCATTGGAGCAGCAGGGGATACAACAAACGAGAGAGCATGGCAGGCGGAAAATTGGACAAAGGATCTCTGGAGCCACAAAGCCTTCCTTTGAGCAATTGTGGTTCCACGTTCTCTGAATCTCTTGCTGCAGTAACAATTGCTGGTCAGTTCCAGGTAGCATGTCATCTGTGTAAAGTGCTGGCACACAAGAATAGGCCAATGAGAAAATAGTGCAATGAGCGAAAGCCTGCCCCAAACAATCTTCCGACGATATTTTCTTCTGAAATTTGTGCTAGCATAGGCTGTTGTGTAGTTTTGCTCCACTTCAAGCTACTTTGAGCTTGGCGGGGCCTACGTCATAGCTCAGAATTCACGACGCGAGGTTCCGCATACCTTGTTTGCGGCGTGCAGAGGTGAGAAATACGATAATTTAGTTATATTCTATCTGATGCGGCATCTTGCATGTGGGCCCAAATGCGCAATTGTCAGTGGTTCATTCAAAAATTACTATGTAAAAACATGGTGGTGGCGCCTGTGTTGCGACCGCGCTCTTTTGTGTTTTACAAAGGTCTTTTGAGATCCATAAAACACAATTCCCTCTTAAATACAACATTTTATTCATCAACCACTTCCAATTCAAGTGTCAAAATGTTTCAAAAACACCTGGGAGGCGCGCCTCAAAATAAAGTTGGTGTTGTTTTCGCTGTAGCGAAACGCCGATTGTTTGCAAAAACTGTTGCTCGAAAACTTCTGCCACGCACACACTGATCGCTGTAGCATAGCGTAGCAACAACAGCGTAACAGAAATTACAAAAGAAGGTCTACAGCAGTGTGGCATCAAGAGCGTGGTAGAAATTGCAGGAGGAGTTCTGTCTATCTACCTATCTATCTGTCTGTCTGTCTGTCTATCTATCTCTCTCTCTCTCTCTCTCTGTCTGTCTGTCTGTCTGTCTGTCTGTCTCTCGCCTGTCTGTCTGTCTGCCTGTCTGTCTGTCTGTCTCTGTCTCTGTCTGGATACCTACCTACCTACCTGCCTGCCTGCCTGCCTGCCTGCCTACCTACCTACCTACCTATCTCTCTGTCTATCTGTCTATCTATCTACCTATCTATCTAATCTATCTATCTGTCTCTCTATCTATCTCTATCTCTATCTACCCATCTATCCATCGATCTACCTATCTATCTATCTATCTATCTATCTATTATATCTATCGATCTATCTATCTATCTATCTGTCTATCTATCTATCTATCTATCTATCTATCTTATCTATCTTATCTATCTTATCTATCGTATCTATCGTATCTATCGTATCTATTGTATCTATCGTATCTATCGTATCTATCGTATCTATCGTATCTATCGTATCTATCTTATCTATCTTATCTATCTTATCTATCTTATCTATCTTATCTATCTTATCTATCTATCTATCTGTCTGTCTGTCTGTCTGTCTATCTATCTATCTATCTATCTATCTAACCTATCTTATCTATCTAAGCTATCTAACCTATCTAACCTATCTAATCTATCTGAACTATCTAATCTATCTAATCTATCAAATCGATCTAATCGATCTAACCTATCTAATCTATCAAATCGATCTAATCAATCAAACCGAACCTATCTAATCTATCGAATCTATCTAATCTATCTAATCTATCTAATCTATCGAATCTATCTAATCTATCTAATCTATCTAATCTATCTAATCTATCTAATCTATCTAATCTATCTATCTATCTATCTATCCATCTATTTATCTATCTATCTATCTAATCTAACCTAACCTAACCTAACCTAATCTAATCTAATCTATCTATCTATCTAATCCATCTAATCGATCTAACCAATCTAACATATCTAATCTATCAAACCTATCTATCTATCTACTTATCTATCTATCTATCTATCGATCTATCTATCTGAATCAATTTAATTCTGCACGGACGTATATATATATATGTATGTGTGTGTGTCTGTATGTATGTATGTATGTATGCATGCATGTATGTATGCATGTTTGTATGGCTGTATGGTTGTATGGTTGTAGGTATGTATGTATTGTTGTATGTATGGTTGTATGTATGCACGGATGTATGCATGGATGTATGTAGGTGTATGTATGTATGTATGTATGTATGTATGCATGTATGCACGCATGCATGCACGCATGTATGTATGTATGGTTGTATGGTTGTATGGTTGTAGGATGTTGTAGGATGTTGTAGGTATGTATGTATGGTTGTATGTACGGTTGCATGTATGGTTGTATGTATGTATGTATGTCTGTATGCATGCATGCATGCATGTATGTATGTATGTATGTTTGTATGTTTGTATGAAACGGTCTGGGCCTCACGTGCGCACGCGTTTTTTGGCTCACGTGCGCACGCGCAAGAAGGCCTCACCTGAGCACGCGTTTTTGGTCTCACGCGCGCACGCGCAAGACGCGTTGTTAGTCTCACGCGCGCACGCGCACGAGTTTGTGGGGTGGGCCCCTGCGTTCCACTAAACCATTTTCTCCATTCTACTTCTTTATTTAAACTTACCCCCCCCTGCGTTCCTCTATACCATTGTCGCCATTCTACTTCTTTATTTAAACTCACCCCTACTTCTTTATTTAAACTTACCCTCCCCTGCGTTCCACTATACCATTGTCACCATTATACTTCTTTATTTAAACTTCCCCCCCCTGCGTTCCACTATGCCATTGTCTCCATTCTACTTCTTCATTTAAACTTCCCCCCCCTGCGTTCCACGAAACCATTGTCTCCATTCTACTTCTTCATTTAAACTTCCCCCCCCCTGCGTTCCATTAAACCATTGTCACCATTATACTTCTTTATTCAAACTCCCCCCCCCTGCGTTCCATTAAACCATTGTCACCATTATACTTCTTTCCTGCGTCATTATACTTCTTTATTTAAACTTCCCCCCCCTGCGTTCCACTAAACCATTGTCTCCATTCTACTTCTTTATTTAAACTTACCCCCCCCTGCGTTCCACTATACTATTGTCTCCATTCTACTTCTTTATTTAAACTTACCCCCCCCTGCGTTCCACTATACCATTTTCTCCATTCTACTTCTGTATTTAAACTTACCCCCCCCTGCGTTCCACTAAACCATTGTCTCCATTCTACTTCTTTCTTTAAACTTACCCCCCCCTGCTTCCCCACTATACCATTGTCTCCCCCATCCTACTTCTTTATTTAAACTTACCCCCCTGCGTTCCACTCCACTATACCATTGTCCTCCATTCTACTCTTCTTATTGAAACTTACCCCCCCCCCTGCGTCCCCTATACTATTGTCTCCATTCTACTTCTTTATTTAAACTTACCCCCCCCTGCGTTCCACTATACCATTTCCTCCATTCTACTTCTGTATTTAAACTTACCCCCCCCTGCGTTCCACTAAACCATTGTCACCATTCTACTTCTTTCTTTAAACTTACCCCCCCCTGCGTTCCACTATACTATTGTCTCCATTCTACTTCTTTATTTAAACTTACCCCCCCCTGCGTTCCACCATACCATTGTCTCCAATCTACTTCTTTATTTACACTTACCCCCCCCTGCGTTCCACTATACCATTGTCTCCATTCTACTTCTTTATTTAAACTTCCCCCCCCCTGCGTTCCACAATACCATTGTCTCCATTCTACTTCTTATTTAAACTTACCCCCCCCTGCGTTCCACTATACCATTGTCTCCATTCTACTTCTTTATTTAAACTTACCCCCCCCTGCGTTCCACTATAACCATTGTCTCCATTCTACTTCTGTATTTAAACTTACCCCCCCCTGCGTTCCACAATACCATTGTCTCCATTCTACTTCTGTATTTAAACTTACCCCCCCCTGCGTTCCACTATACCATTGTCTCCATTCTACTTCTTTATTTAAACTTACCCCCCCCTGCGTTCCACAATACCATTGTCTCCATTCTACTTCTTTATTTAAACTTACCCCCCCCCTGCGTTCCACTATACCATTTTCTCCTTTCTACTTCTGTATTTAAACTTACACCCCCCTGCGTTCCACTATACCATTTTCTCCTTTCTACTTCTGTATTTAAACTTACACCCCCTGCGTTCCACTAAACCATTGTCACCATTCTACTTCTTTCTTTAAACTTACCCCCCCCTGCGTTCCACTATACTATTGTCTCCATTCTACTTCTTTATTTTAACTTACCCCCCCCTGCGTTCCACTATACCATTTTCTCCATTCTACTTCTGTATTTAAACTTACCCCCCCTGCGTTCCACTAAACCATTGTCACCCTTATACTTCTTTCTTTAAACTTACCCCCCCCCTGTGTTCCACTATACTATTGTCTCCATTCTACTCCTTTATTTAAACTTACCCTCCCCTGCGTTCCACTATACCATTGTCACCATTATACTTCTTTATTTAAACTTCCCCCCCCTGCGTTCCACTATGCCATTGTCTCCATTCTACTTCTTCATTTAAACTTCCCCCCCCTGCGTTCCACGAAACCATTGTCTCCATTCTACTTCTTCATTTAAACTTCCCCCCCCCTGCGTTCCATTAAACCATTGTCACCATTATACTTCTTTATTCAAACTCCCCCCCCCTGCGTTCCATTAAACCATTGTCACCATTATACTTCTTTCCTGCGTCATTATACTTCTTTATTTAAACTTCCCCCCCCTGCGTTCCACTAAACCATTGTCTCCATTCTACTTCTTTATTTAAACTTACCCCCCCCTGCGTTCCACTATACTATTGTCTCCATTCTACTTCTTTATTTAAACTTACCCCCCCCCTGCGTTCCACTAAACCATTTTCTCCATTCTACTTCCTTATTTAAACTTCC